ACACGTATTAACAGCTGCATTAGTTTGCCATTCTAAAAATAACCATTACGATGCATTGCAATGTTTAAAAAACTTCTACGGTAGTACCACTTGGCAAGAGGGGTGTTAAGTTTAAGGCAACTGTGTAATTTATTTGCTTACGAATAATTGAATTAGAAAATGTTATACATAAAACTTCACACATAATTACTTTATTTATACAGTTTGAATCGTGTGATTAATCTAAGAAAAAAATTACAATACAGAAACAAATACAACTGATGTGGCGCCTCTATTTAAATTTACTTATGAGCAAACTGCGTAGTAGTGGGGACATTTTGACAAGATTAAAAACGTCTTCACGATGAAGTAGTAGTATTCTGACAGTTTGGGCGATTACAAATTATATGAAACGGTTACAACCCCACTCCCCATGGACCTCTCTGTAAAAAGAATATTGTCATAATACCACTGCTACTTATTTAAATCTATTTATGTAATATATATGTATGTAATATATATTTGTGTTATATATATGTATGTTTAGAACAGTCATCTAAAAATTGTCGCTAAGTTCACTCTGAGTTGGTTATTCCCTCCCCCCCCACCTCACCACCACAATTGTGTAGTGCGACATTAATGTCACACCAAGGTATAAACTGGGTTGGATAATTGACCTAACGTGAACGGACAGTGGTGAATGAAGTTGAACCCATCCCCCCCCCCAACCAACCCCGAACTGATCTGTTAAGTACATGTAGAAAAACACGAATGATGTACCAAAGTACCATGCCGCCAGAAAATTAGCTTTTTAAACGTAAAACTCTGTGAATATTGTTTTTGCAATTACCAGTAAAAAGGTGTGTGATCCAGTGGCGTAGCCAGGATCGTCTCAAGGGGGGGGGGTCCAATTTTTACCCGGGGACAAACTTTCGATTTGCACCCCCCTCAAACTTTCGATTTGCACCCCCCCCCCCTCAAACTTTCGATTTGCACCCCCCCTCATACTTTTTCTATATACCGAGGGGTCTATGGGGGGGGGGGTTATGACCCCCCTAACCCCCCCCCTGCCTACGCCACTGGTGTGATCAATACAGTGATCTAACCCATATCTATCACTATGTTAAAAATGATCTTTAAGGAACCCAAAGAAGCAGTAGTTAATTAAAAATACATATGATCTGAACTAAAGACCAATATTTAGTTAAATGTACGCTGTTGTTATTCGGAATGTTTTCTGTAATAGCGAAAAGCGTGGTTTTATACCAACTCTGATTTAAAAAACTTTCATTATGCTGTAATATTTTAGCATTTATGATAACGATATATTAAATTCTGATTACAGACAAAAACATTTTTTAAACTCGAATAGTGTTTAACAATTTCATTATATTCTAAATTAATTATTTATTTGTTTTGACATTTATAATTAAATGTGTAGATATATACATATTTATATTAAGAGAGTGATTATTTCCCCTATTTCACTTGTTTTAAATAATTTGCCAGGAATTATTATGTTAGAAATTTTTTTGTGTTACGTTCATTGTTTTTGGTTGTAGTATATATATATATATATATATATATATATATATATATATATATATATTGTTTAGATGGATACAAATTTTGTTTTGTCGGCCTACATTGTTTTTTCTTTTTCTTCAGAGTGCTACTTTCAATTTATTTTACATCATAGCGAAGTAATGACATACAGCTAGTAATTATATATATATATATATATATATATATATATATATATATATATATATATATATATATATATATATATATATATATATATATATATATGCACGTATATAGAACGTGTTAAAAATTCGGCGCCTTTTTTGTCACTTTTCGCTCCCCCTACAACGAAAACCTGGATACGCCTCTGGTTAGATGAATGCGTTTATAAAACTGGTAGAGTTCGGTACATCCAAAAAATGTTAAGAACCACTGATCTAAGCATATCCCATAAATTTTTTGACCTAAATTCCGGCTTTATAAAGTCCTAGATCTAGATTTCTATACTATAGACTATAGACTGTTGTCTAGAAAGTAGCCCTACACAAAACAATTTCTTGTTTCGGCATTTACAAAGACCTTAAATTTGATTGTTTAATAAATTTACGCGCCAAAACTCAAACATCCAGCTTACAGTCCGGAGTATTTTATCCAGTTTGCTAGAGTATGCCTGTTTTAAACCTGGAATCTAGATCTAGATCTAGATCTAGATTTTGATTTCTGAATCTAGTCACACATACACACATCATAGAATTTTTTTTGTCTGTCTTGAGTCTTGAGTGACTCAACAAAATAGTTTTATTAATATTATTAATCTGTTAAGAATTGTAAAATTTTGTATGTTTAGTAATATGTTTATTGGGTAATCTATCGTTTTGGGTACGTAAAATCGCCCGCGGCTATTTATGTACGAAAACGTTACCTCATTGTCAAGGCATTAATAGATGTTTATTGTCATACTTTTGTGTCAAATGTTATAGATAAATGAATAATAAACCTAAATCAATTGCTAAATATATCGATATAGGCCAGAAATTAACTTTAAACAGCAGTATCTGAGAGCAAGATTTGCTATATAAACAGCAGCCATTTGTAAAATAGAGTGGCTTCCCCCTGAATCTGGCGCTAAAAGCTTATAAAAATAAAACTTAGACAAGATGGCTGCTATAGTAAATGAGCATGGTTGCATCTGTTGGAAACATCGCTAGTCTTCATTTATTACGGAAAAGTTTTAATTCAATTGTTTAAAAACAGGTACATAAATGAATCAAGGAAACATTTTTGAATTTTTTAAAACATAAATCCTCCTCAAAATGTGAAATAATTATTAAAATTTAAGGAGTCACCTGTTTTTCACATTACAAATCGCGGGCGATTTTACGTACCCAAAACGATAGATTACCGTTTATTGTTGTGGGTTGTATTTTTTATAGCATAAATTACTTATAGATCTAGACGTTATAAGCATTATCATCACAAGAATCTCAACTTTTGTTACGTATTTAGCTAAATACGCGGTAGAAAAGTTAATTATAAAAGAAATTTAGGCACATTTTGCTGTAAGCTATTCTCTGGTCGCCCTCTCCTCAGTAGGCATTGTGACTGTCCGAACATATTTCGTGTTGTTGACGTTATGCGTCAATGACAGCCTTTGAACCTTGTCAGCTTTCTGTTTTGATCATAAGTTTTGTTATGTAATGAGCGTGATAAATGTGGGCAGTAAAGGTGGTTGAGCTAAACATAACTATTGTTGCCATGAGTCGAGGGCAGCAAGTCAGATGAACTCTATGCATATACAGTTATACAGCCTACACACATTACATTTAATTAATCCTAAGTTAATTTGCACTCTCTAAATATCTAATACATAAAAGTATTAGGCCTAACAAATATCATGCAAATATATATTTGTGACTTTTTTTCCTGTGACTTTTTTCTGTGTTTTTTTTCCTGTGACTTTTTTTCCTATCCTACAATCATTTTATTCCCCGCTTCACTTCCACCTCCAGTTAAGCATATTTTATTAGAAACACACATAAACGTTAGGAAATCACTCTGCCTATTTTTTTATTAATTTTTTGTTTATTTTTTTAAATTAATTTTGTCAAAACTTGAGAAAAATCCGAAATTTAGATTATTGAATGTGTTCTTGGTCTAGATTTAACTTTTCTTTTCTTGAAAATATGAAAAGATAATCATGGCAATGGGTAAAAGTAAAGTAAAAACACATAATATTATAATTGCAAGGCATGATTCTATAAATAAAATTAACTTACATGAACTCACAATGACCCTAAACTATGTATGACGTATGCTGAAAATTAAACTCTAGGTGAACCTTTGACTATGTAGCGATTTTTCTCACGCCGCCGATCACACAGTATTTAATTAATTGGAACTGTAATGCTTCTTTATATTTTTTAACTTTTCTAATTAAAACACATTCATAAAAAATATATAGGCCTAGTTGATTAAAAAAGACATCCTAGTTCACCTGATATTTGTTCTATGAGAATTTTAAATTGACAGTTTAATAGCAATTTGAACTACTAACTAAACTGATGCATAATTACTTTAATTAGTATTTATTTAAAAATTACCAGATCTATTAATTAGACTAGAATAGATTTAATTAGAGTGCATATAATGATAATTGATCAGCTCATCTACAACCCTTTTAGTTTACTCACTTACATTACACTATTTAATAATTAACTGTCCTGAAATTATTATTGTTTAATTAATTACAGGCTTCACTTCCACCATTTTCCAACCCATCGGGATCAAGAAGCTTAAAGCTGTTTTTGAGAAATAGGCCTATAGGTCCTACCTGAAGAAGAGTAAGTATTTGCCTATTAATTGGAATCTAATCAAATTTTTTTTTTCAAGCATCTCCACAGGGTTATGGGGAATGCCCTCACCAGAGCATGTCCACCCCTCCCTCTATCGCCAAAATAGGAAAATACATGATTTATTTAGAAACTGATCATATGTTAAATATATTTAAAAACAGCAATTTTAAAACTAATATGTGATCTTGCCAACATATAAACAGCCTACTATTTTAATTAGCATTTTCAGAATGTTCATCCTTTCTCTGTTAATTAAAACATGAAGAAAATTATTGAGCTATCACCAAAATAGTATAAGCAGAGAATAGCAATTTTCTTTGTTAACAACACACAACCAAGGTTTTCTTAATTGACATTAGCAGGTTTTATAGCTCAGTACAGGAAATAAAAATGTAGCTATAAGTTAAACATACCAAATTTAAAAAAAAATTTACAAACATAATTAATAACTAACTACAAAAAAACATTTTTAATGTAAAATTGCTCTAAATCACCTCATCTTGTAAAATGACACTGATCGTGTTTAATTTATATAGTGACTTCGTGATCCCTTACACTAAGCCCGTGACACAAATTAGAATATTTGAAGTATTAAACTGTTTTACAGACTGTTATTGCTATTGTGTGCTTCTACTGAGTTACAGGAAACATTCACAACAAATTATGGAAAATCAGGCTCAACCATCCAACATTAAGCAACAAGGTAAAACTATGGAAAGTATAGAAGTGATAGATTGCTTATTTTGGCCTAAATAGCCTATATTAATATTAGACAAAATTAATATCATAAAGTTGATATTTTTATTGTTGTAATAATAAATATACTGTTTTAGCCATTACACTTTAAAAAACAGAAACATAATTGCTTAAGCATTTTAGTTTATATCTCTTTTAAAATATTGCCTCATACAAATAAAAGTGATTCTTTAAAAGCAGCAACTCATCTAAAACTTTAAAAGTTATTTTATTTAAGATAAATTTCAGACCCTCCACCTTTCCCTTTGAGTATATTCAGCTCAAATTAGGGCACTCCTTCTGTTTCACAAATTTCTTACCCCCTGATTAAGCATTTCTATTATAAGTAGTTAAAATAGGATTGTTCCTTTTTAAATCTGGTTAATTTTGTAAAACAAATTTTTATTTTATAAACAACAGCTGTTCACGAGATTGAGGCTTTCAGCAACAGAGCTTTTGTAGAAAAGGAAGAAGCAATTACCAGAGGATTTTTTATGAAATGTGACAAAAAAGACCAGCATAGAAAGTATATACCATTCACTGATTTCATCGACTCTGATCTTCCTCGTAAATACCGGGACAGTGATATTGTAGGCACTGTGAAGGCACTGGGAGATCTTGTAGTGCGTTTAGAAGTTATTAAAGGTCAAATAACAGAATTAGGTACTGGAAGGGTGAAGTTTTCACAAGTGCACTACCAAAATTGTCATTGTGTACTGTGTGAACAGTTACCTTACATTGAAAAGCCCTTTGGTACAATTACTATTGTAACTGGAACACATGTTGTTGGAAATAGCATTGATGCCCAGAACACAACATGTCTATTAGATTTTAATAATGAAAATGAAAGATCTTTTTGTGTTAAATTAAAGGGTTCTCGGGTAAAGGTATATTCAGATGTAACTGATAGGTGTGAGTTTTACTGTTTCACATATGATATTGGTTTATGCATTAATCTTCGAGAGAAAGTATATAGTTACAATAATTTAAATGCTAATTTAAATAGGAAGTATTCAAGTAATCCTAACGCAAATCTAGCTATAATTGTTGCCCATCCTCATGGATGGTGCAAACAAGTTTCCATTGGTCAGTTACTCGATGTCCATACTAAACCATCCTTTAAACCAAATATAAAGCTCACTCAGTATTTGTACAATACAACTACTTGCTCTGGGAGTAGTGGGGCTCCACTCTTCTTTTTAGGAAGGGAAAAAGTGTGGACTAATCATCCACACTGGGGATATGACGAAGCTGCTCAGAGTAGTTTTAGTGCTTATGAAATAGAGGATGTTACTTCAAACTTTCTTAGTCTAATTAAAGCAATTAAAGAGAGGCCTAATAACAAAACCTATGAATTGATAAACTGGGGGCAACAAAGACCTTCCATAAAATGGGAAGATGAAAATTAAGATGCTGATTTTATTTTAAAAGATTTATTAACCTCTGGGTTGTTCATAAATATTCTATCCAGTTTTAAGCAGACTTTTTTTTTACCATCACAGAAAATGATGATTCTTTCTGATTCACCCTATCTATTCCTTGAAATGACAATTTAAAAAAAATTAGTTATCATTTTAGGAATTTTTGTTTTTTTTGCTGTACCATATTTAACTACTGTTTTTCTTTATCTAGTAAATTTTTTAGCGTCTTCTATCCTCCCTACTATTATCATGATGCCTCCCTCCTTTACAAATATTGGGATTAAAACTAAAAAAAATTACATTAAAAAAATTCACTAGAAATAGTAATAAAGATTATTATTTTTGAAGATTATGACATTTTCAACTGCAAATATATTTTAGATTTATTTTTAAAAATTGCACAATTTATATTGCCAACAGAAAACGACTTAAAATGTAATTTATGCAATGGGTTTCAATTCAAACATAAAAATAACACAAAAGAATAGGCGTGATTTAGTTTTTATTTTATTTTAATGTACATTACAACTAGTCTATCTTGCAATCTTTTAATTAGTTGCATTGAGAATGATTCAAATCACACAATCCACATCACCATTTTTTTTCATAGCCAATACCAGATCATACATTAAATTCAGATGCTTATGCTCATTAAGAAATTAACATAGACAAACAACATGATAGGAACATAGATGTAGCTCTGACTCGTTTATTTCACACACACACATCCACTAGATATACTTGACTTGGATATCTTTCTTATCACTGACTTAACACCCTTAACTTGCGATCCTAATAAGACTTCTACAACCATGCATGATAATAAGCAAAAACACTTTCACTCAATCAAATCCCAACACAGACTCTCATTCCAATTTATCATGAAGACCACCCTCCTGTTCTTTGACATAAATGATACTATCTTTCTTTCCACAGCAGCAACAGTCCAACATAAAAATATCCCAGAGTTTTCATACCATGTTACAATAAAAATCTACTCTCTTCTAATCTATATTTATTTACTCAAAGATCCTTCCTTACACAAATACTCCCATACCCTTACAACACATTGTATTCACTTCATAAAAGTGTAATTAATAGTGTACACTCGTTTTTTTTTAATAAACATGTAAGAATCAATTTCTTCATGGTACAATTTGCATCATTTATTTAAAAAAATCAACTGTAGTGGCTGTTCTTAAAATTGTTATACAAATGCTGGTGTTGTAAATAATACTTTTGCCTTGTTTGTAAGGAATAGGGAAATAGGTTAAATGTCCAATTTTTTGGTTAGAAAGTAAAAAAAATTCTGCATGATCCCTTAAAAATAATGCGACTGTGTGGCCTAGCAGTAGAGAGCTAGACTGCTAACCCGAAAGCATTTGCATTTTTCTTCCAATTCAACAATCAATGCAGTTTTTCATTTGCACATTATAATTCAGCAAATCATTTTTTTTTTAAATTAATTCTTTTTAACCTCATTCCTTTATCCACATTGATCTTTACTTAACCGGTGTAATAGACTTGAAAAGCTGGTTCCAAATTTTATTGGGCATTTTTTAAATTTTACACTTTTTTTTTAGTTTCTTATGTTTTTCTATGTTGAAAAACTATTATATATATTAATCATGTCTTATAATTTATTTTTTATATCAATATGAGTATCAATGGTTTTTGTAATGCTAATTTATTTTTGTTGTTGCTTTTGGCGGATCTTTTATGTTAAAAAGATTAAATTTCCATATTGACTTCATAGAATTATGAGATCCTGTTATGTATGTTATTGTAGATTATTGTTACTTGATTGGCTGATAAAACTAAATTGAAACTATAATTTGTGCAAGCTTATTTATAAACTGTGCTTTACTTTGAATATATTTATGCTGCATCGGTGATAAAAATGTAATAACAAAATGCTTTAATTATAAATATTTGTTTGATGTGTAGAAGTAAAAATAAGCTAGTTTCATTTTGCTGCTGTTTATACACAAAATTTATAGTCATTGAATTCCAATGAATATTTAGTCTTATTAGTTATACTTATATTATAAATCTAATTTTTAAAACTAAGAACGGTTCAATATTTTATATCTATGCAAGAATAAATATAATTAATTATCATTTTTTGTTTTTATTTATATTATTACTCTCTTTCTGCAACCCTATGATTTCCCCACCCTTAGCTTGCTCTTCTTTCACCCCTCAATTTACCAGAACCTGACACCCCTCACCACCACCATTACACTTTCCATCTCCCTGACTAAGCTGACATTTTCCTTGCCCCTCCCTGATCCCATCACCTCAATTTCCCCCACACCCCCTGAATTGACCAGTTCAAATGTCAATTGAACAATGCATTTCAATGTCAGCTGGTATATATTCTTTATACTACTAGCCAATAATTTTATGCAAGAGGGTTATGCACTTGAGGGGATGGTGTGGGAAAGTAAAGTTGGCTGGGTATAGTGCTGACCACACTGTCCCTTCATATACCTGGACAATATTAAAGTCAGCACATCATTGCTCAAGGTGGGTTCACCTCCCTGATGATAGCAGCCGAGAGTGCCAGTAAGGAAGTTGTCTCTTATTTGATCAGACGTCAACATGAAAGACAACGAAGGCTGGAATGTTGTCATGTTTGCAGCCAAGAACAGTAACTCTGGGGTGTTACAAATATTACAGAATATAGGATGTCACTAAAGCTGGCTGCAGTTATGTCAAGTTATCAATTATGTCAAACTAAGCGTGTAGCCTACATCCATTTTCTTCCCCTGTGAATCTAACCAATGTTGATGTAGAAAGCGGATTGGCCTAATAGTGTAATTAATCATAGAACTTTGCTCTAAACATGGCAAAAAGGAAAAGTTCTGATGTAACTACAACAGGGGCGTAGCGACCCCTTTCGGCGCCCGGGGAAAAACTTTCAATTTGCCCCCCACCATAAATTTTTTTATGTTTATAATCCAAAACTGCAGCTAAAATTAGCTTTTAATTTTTTTAAACCCGTTTTGGCACCCCTAGGGTCGGCGTCCTGGGACATATGTACCCCCCCCCCCCCCCCTTTGCTTCCCTTCTGGACTACAATCTATTATCTAAAGGACTTAGAAAAAAACTTCTCGCGTTCCATTAAGAAACTGTACACAGGGACGATAATTTACTTGAAAATGCAGATAAATTTGCAGAAAAATTTGGAATTTTTGTTAGATATGTATGTTACGAGAAAGAAATTTCACAGACAATAATCAACAAATAATGTCATTATTGTAACATCCAGATGTAACAAAAATTCCTAAATTTTTCAGTCTGTTCTATATTAGATTGCTGAATAATATTTTCGTATGTAATCTTTGTTTCAGGATGATCTTAGCGTTGGTTTAATGTGCACTTTATTATTGAAAACTGTTGACTCTAAAATTGAAAATTTATTCTTGTATAGTCTCATTTGTATTAATGTTATTAATATTATGTACACACGTGATAGCCTGCTTCAAACAGGTTGGCACATACACAGTTGGTCGATAGTACCGCGTCGGACAGGATACTGGATAAATGTTATTACTTCTATCATTGAATTGATACTGGATAAATGTTATTACTTCTATCATTGAATTGATGCTGGATAAATGTTATTACTTCTATCATTGAATTGATGCTGGATAAATGTTATTACCTCTATCATTGAATTGATACTGGATAAATGTTATTACTTCTATCATTGAATTGATGCTGGATAAATGTTATTACTTCTATCATTGAATTGATGCTGGATAAATGTTATTACTTCTATCAATGAATTGATGCTGGATAAATGTTATTACCTCTATCATTGAATTGATACTGGATAAATGTTATTACTTCTATCATTGAATTGATGCTGGATAAATGTTATTACTTCTATCATTGAATTGATGCTGGATAAATGTTATTACTTCTATCATTGAATTGATACTGGGTAAATGTTATTACTTCTACTTTTACAATACTGGATGTTATGGTGGAAAGATAGTAACGTTTGCACATACACCTTTTCCATCATATTTTCATAATCAATCCAAGAAGAACATAAACAATTGACAATTTTTTTCATTGTTTACAATTCTGTGAAATATATATTATAGTTATAAGTCTTATTATTATTCTAAAGTTAATATTTATAATTAGGGTTAGCAATATATATATATATATATATATATATATATATATATATATATATATATATATATATATATATATATATATATGAGCTAGTTTAATAAATTTAAGTAATAAAAATAAGCTATTCTTATTGGAAATTAGATTGTTCAAATGAAGTTTTATTCAAATGATATAACTGACTTTTCTAATATGTCCACAAATAGTTTGTTACGAATAATGCATCCATCCAATAATTCCTACCGTCGCCATATCAAGATATTATCCTTGCAGTCTTGTTACTTGGCACGTGATTCAATCAAGCTTAAAACAACTGAAGTTAGCATACATTTTGCTTGCCTTTATGCTAACACTAGTTATATCGGAAACAACGTACAATTTATCACCAGCTTGAAGTTGTATTAAGCTATAATTGCAATAACCGTGACGCTGCTGAATTGACGGGCCATTGTTTATATAACATGTAATCAATGCAGTTTCGTGGTCATCTTTATATGAGTAAAGATTTGCAACAAATTTAAAACGTTTTGTCTCGTTGGCATATACCTTAAGTAGCACCAAGTAAATTCCGTCGACAGGGACTATAAATTCTCCAGTGTCTGCGTTATAATAGTTGCCCACATTAAACAATACACTTGTAAAGCTTTCAGTAATTGTTCTGTTATCTTCGTAATTAAAATAAGAAGAGAATCCAACCTTTTCTGAAGCTGTTTGTGTATCTGAAGAGATAAATCGTGTTTATTAGATCATAAAGGATAGGAGTTATATAAAAAAAAAATTAAAACACTTGGCAAACTTACCTCTAGAGGGTCTCTCATAATTCTGCCGTATGTTCTGAAAATTAATTAATTGTTTTTATACAGATATTTATAAGTAAAACTAATTATTCAAGTAAAAGAAGTTTTAAAAATAAAAATCCCTCTGAATATTTCATATACTGGGTAAAATCACACTGAGCGAACATTTCTAACATAAATATTTTTTTTCTTCTAAATCCCTTTCGTTATACTTCAACGCTTTAGACCGCCTTTTTATTAAATCAAGAAACTTTTTTCTTAATTCTAAATTATCGCCCCTGCAAATTTTATCGAGATTTTTCTAAAGTTGTCACCTTATGAAGTTTAGTGCCTGTTGACAAGTTTCTGTTAAATAAGTCCTGTAGAGTCTCTAACGGCCTCACTCTCTTCGCGAGCATACAGCACAGCAGTTCATGCTGACAAGCAAATTGAAGAAGATTTTACATTTTTACAAAGTATTTCTTAAACAATTCCAAATTTATTGATCAATTTTAAATCTAAGTTACAGTTTAGTTATATATTTCTGAAATGTATATCCTTTCTGTCAATGCTGAATTGGTTCGCCGGTTAATTTGGCGTTAGTTGTAACTTTTTTTGTTCGTTAATTTCAACTTATGAGTATTTTAATTTATTTTTCAAATTAACAAAACAGTCTATGTATTTCTTCGATATGAATTGTAAAAAAAATTTAACCAAATAAAGTCTAACCGTAATTTTTGTAATACTATTTTTTTATTTTTATTATAAATTAGTTTACTTTAGCAAACATTTCTTTCTTTAAAGTTGCCATTTGTTTCTCCAATATTCGTGAATTATTCTGGAGAGTTTCAATAAAGTCCGTCATAGAAACACATTTTCTAATCCCTATTTCATTCTTTTCTAAAATGAAAAAAAAAAGCAACACATAATATATAATATATTGAAGTATTATCAGGAATAACATAAGTAAATAACCCATAGAAAGAAAATGATGATCAACTAAGCAAATATTAATCACAAGGAATGAAGCGGTGGATGCTAATAGAATCTAGCGCATCTGAAGGGTATGGTAGAGAAGCCATGATACATTAACATTTTTGTTGTTTTGCTATTTGTTGTACAGACAAGTTGCTTTTTCTGTACTGTTGCACTGTTGTTTTGATATGTTTTTGCGTTGTTTTTCACTGGGTTTTTATTTGAAACGAGTAAGTCTAGATGCCAACTAAAACTGAACACAATTTAAAAAAAAAACACATTACAATAATTTGAAATACCAGTTTTACCGGCATTATTACTAAAAAAAAATATATAACTAAAAAATATCAGATTTTTGGTTAAAAAGTAGGTTCAGATTAACATGGTTTTTACAACACCTGAATAAAGAAAGGGGAAAGTTACTAACCTTTCATATCTTTCACATCTTGTTCTACACGTTGTAGTCTCTGCTCGGAGGTGCTCAAAGCTGTAACTTTACTGCACGAAGCGATGTCTTCTTTGTTTTCGTCTGGATATTTTTTTTTAAATTAAAGAGACACATTTGTATTGTACTCAAACACCTAGACAACAACATTCATGAATATAAATAAAAAAATAAATAAATGAATAAATAAAAAAATAAAAATAAATAAATAACTAAATGAGTGAGTGAGTGAGTGAGTGAGTAAATAAATATATGAATAAACTAAATTAATAAATAAATGATTGAATAAATAAATAAAATAATTAAATGTATGTATATATATATATATATATGTATATATATATATATATATATATATATATATATATATATATATATATATATATATATATATGTGTGTGTGTGTGCGTGTGTGTATGTGTGTAAACGTGTGTGTGGGGGTGTGTGTGCGTGGGTGTGTTTGTGTGTGTGGGGGGTGGGTGGGTGGGGCGTGTGGGTATGTGTGTGTGTGTGTGTGCGTGTGTGTGTGTGTGTGTGTGTGTGTGTGTAATTACGAAGTTAACCTAAAATTCTAGAATACGAGGCCAAAATGTAGGATGTTGCCTCCTCCAATTTTTGAGAAATTTCCGTGAAGCTAGTCTCGTTTTCATCTCCGCTTTCATCAATCCACGATTTGCCTTTACCTATAGCCTGTGTAATACGCGATCATTTTATATTAGATTATTTTTTTTTAAATGTGAAAATGAAATATATTACGCTGCTATATAAACTTGGGTTGTATCTTTGCCTCCCATCGAAAATTAAGCCGTGAGGGTTCAATATCTCCCTCTGCTCCTGGTGAAAATATCCATGGACATAAACCCCCTGAAGTTCTGGACATAAGCCCCCTGGACAAGAACCCCCTGTACATACATTCTGTAATCCTGGGCATAAACCCCAATGAGTTCTGGACACAAACCCCCTGGACATAAACCCCCTGGACATAAACCCCCTGGACATACACCCCCTGGACATAAACCCCCTGGACATAAACCCCCTGGACATAAACCCCATGGAGTTCTGCACTTAAACCCCCTGGACATAAACCCCCTGGACATAAACCCCCTGGACATAAACCCCTGGAGTCCTGCGCATAAACCCCATGGAGTTATGCACATAAACCCCCTGGACTTCTTGACATAAACCCCCTGGACTTTTTGACAAAACCCCATAGAAGCCGTGAGGATAAAAAAAAACACATTTTTAACAATACAAAAGATGTGAGAGATTCACCGGCGGAAGCTTGGTTCATATCCACCTTGGTAGACAGAAGCATGGTATAAATATAACATCAAATTTATTCCTCCACAAATCTTATAATAAATAAGTTCCACTTCCGTTTATCGAAAATCGCTGAGAAAATGATATAGAACTGTAACGGTACTCAAGTTATCGTGTTTACAGACACACACAGACATACGGACAGAATTGATTGCAAAGCCCAGTGTTTCCGATTCGATTACGCATAGAACGCTGAAATTTGGATGAATCCGCATTTATTATTTTTGCCCGATTAAAATAAGCCCTCTATACTCCGTATATGATGAAGTGCTAAGGTGTAAAACGATGAAAACTGTAAAAATTCCATGTTATTTCTCTGCACGATTACAATTCTTCCTCTATACTCTGTATACGAGAAAGTAAAAAAGCTTAAGTAATTAAAAATGAGTTAGAAATCATGTCTATATCCCGAGTTACCATCCTCTGTAGTGTTATATAAGTATAGTTATATAACCATATTTTATTCCAACACCAAAACAAATTAATAGAAAGTATCCCCCCCCCCACCGATGTAATGTTTTTTTATAGGGAAGTAAAACATTTTTTGTGATCTATCAATGAAACAAAGTGAATTAATTTGTACTCCTATTTAAAAGTTTAAACATATTGTGAAGGATGATACGTTTATTCTACGTGACGTTAATTAGAATGCTACTTTTGGAAAAAAAAATTTTTTTTACAAAACTATCGTTATTAATTTTTTTTTAAATTTTGGATCTCGTCATCTTTGGTTTTTTTTCTTTATATAAACCATCTTTGGTGATGGGGGGGGGGTGTTCGCAGCCTGTTTTAGTGTGTTATTTTGTCTGGGGCCAGTTTTATGTACCTTTCAGTCGGAGATCGTTAGACGAATTCTCTCTTGTCGTTAGCCTCGTGATTTCATTGTCATGGTTTTTTCCGGGGTCATTTTGTCAATGCTGTCCAGAGTTGCTTCCAGGCATCTCTTCGGGGGGCAAAGCCCCTCCGAAAAAATTCTACCGCCCCCCTGGAAGAAACACTGATGCTGTCTTTCAAGGGGTCATTTTGTTAATAGCAACTTAAGTTTAGCATTGTCGACATTTCAAGTTTTTCTTAAAAAAAAAGTAAAGAGGACTGATTCTGAGTTTTTCAAAACCCATTTCCTAAACTTTCTCACCACAACTGTTATTCAGGTACATAATTTTTTAAATATATTGCGAGTGAAAGTTAACAAAGGGATAGCGTGGTCGTCAGGAGAGCGCATGCTTGATCATTTCAAAAGTCCCTAGTTAGGACCCCACAGATGAGATTCGTTAGCTGGGAACATCAACTGATCTAGGAGAGGAAACTACGAACTCAAGCGACTTCTGCGTTACAGATTGTTCTTGGGTGTAGAAAAGCTATGTAAAAAAATTTATGAAAGAGAAGCAGGCGGAAGTACGAGTCTAATTACAACAGGACGTATAAAAAATTGATAAGTAATGCTTAATTTATGTTGGATGAAATTCTTTCCAATATTCGGGTTAAGAATGAAGAAGAAAAAGAAGATTACAATAATAATAACTAGTAAAAATCTGCATTCATATTTACATAGGCAAAAGTTAGTTATCTAATTTACAGGACTGTAGTTGTACTTTTAACATATACTTTAAATAAACTAATATTTTTGTGTATTTAAAACTCATGTAGTTATTTATTATGAATTGTTTTTCAATCGAATTTTAACACTTTAATTTTAGAGAGAATCTCAATAGGATAACGTAATAAAACATACGTAAAAACCTATCGGTTATTTTGATTAATCTTTGTATTTTTTAATCCAAACATTTTGCTCAACAAGACATTGGGTTAGTGACTAAGCAAGAAATTTTTCTAAAAACAAACGCATACACAAAAAAAAAAATTCAGCTACAGACTATAATTATTAAATAAATGAAGGCATAATTCATTATTGGAATAATTTTATAGTTAATTTGATCGGTTTACGGCTGTGTTATTAATAACCTAAATAAATTAAATATAGTTTTAAGGCTATTGGACTAAATCCGCTTTCCACCTACGTTATTTGCACGTCAATAGCTAATTACGCTAACCTTTAATCTTAAAACAATTATAACAACTTACATTTTGTATCAACTCCATGACAGGCTGCAGCAAGCCATTTTGGTGTTCGAGAAATTCCAACTGAGCTGAGATAATCTTGACGTGACGCTGTGACCTCGTTTGATCTCAAGCTGTGCTATGTGCTCTACTGTTAAACAACACACTCAGATGTGTAGTGGCATTACACGTTGGGAGATGTTACACTAATCTAGTTTTCATAAATTGGTAGTCGAGAGATAGGTAGATCATTTAATTTACCTTTTTTGGTGTAAGGATTTTGTTGTCCACACTGTTCTTTTAGATGTGTTGCGCTGTATTATACTTAACGGCTTTCCAAGATTTAAATAAAGTATGGGATTTCCCGAAGTTATAAAAGTAAAACGACGAAATAGAAATACAAGGAGCACGTTTAAATTTATAATGTCATTTGATAATTTTATTTTTACAATTTTTTTTTACTATTTCTTGGTATACTGAGATATGTGGTAAAATTCATTTTACAACTCAAACAATATTTTTCTACTATCCAATTTCGACTCTATAAGCTCCAAACAGTAAAGATAACTGTTTCTGTTCGCGTAGGTGTATTTGTTGTTTTTTTTTTTTGGGGGGGGGGCTGATTTATTTCTTCGCCCTTTATCAAATCAACACACAGTAACAAAACCAATCTTAAAGTAACGTAACATTTCTTCGTGTTTTCTCTCCCAACTTAGTGAGGTACTATGGTACATCTCCCACCTTAGTGAGGTACTATGGTACCTCTCCCACCTTAGTGAGGTACTATGATACCTCTCCCACCTTAGTGAGGTACTATGGTACCTCTCCCACCTTAGTGAGGTACTATGGCACTCTCCCACCTTAGTGAAGTACTATGGTGCCTCTCCCACCTTTATGAGGTACTATGGTACTATGGCAATCTACCACTTTAGTGAGGTAATATGGATATTATGGTACTATGGTACCTCAGGGAAAAAGAAAAACAGGCTCGCCATGAAACATGGAGAGGTGACCTGAAAGATTGGATACACCTGGGAACAGTTGGAGAGACTAGCCCAGGATACACCTGGGGACAGGTGGAGAGACTAGCCCAGGATACACCTGGGGACAGGTGGAGAGACCCACTCAGGATACACCTGGGAACAGTTGGAGAGACTAGCCCAGGATACACCTGGGGACAGGTGGAGAGACCCACTCAGGATACACCTGGGGACAGGTGGAGAGACTAGCCCAGGATACACCTGGGGACAGTTGGTGAGACTAGCCCAGGACACCTGGGAACAGTTGAAGAGACTAGCCCAGGACACCTGGGGACAGTTGGAGAGACTAGCCCAGGATACACCTGGGGACAGTTGGAGAGACTATCCCAGGATACACCTGGGGACAGGTGGAGAGACTAGCCCAGGATACACCTGGGGACAGGTGGAGAGACTAGCCCAGGATACACCTGGGGACAGGTGGAGAGACTAGCCCAGGACACCTGGGGACAGTTGGAGAGACTAGCCCAGGATACACCTGGGGACAGTTGGAGAGACTAGCCCAGGATACACCTGGGGACAGGTGGAGAGACTAGCCCAGGATACACCTGGGGACAGGTGGAGAGACCCACTCAGGATACACCTGGGAACAGTTGGAGAGACTAGCCCAGGATACACCTGGGGACAGGTGGAGAGACCCACTCAGGATACACCTGGGGACAGGTGGAGAGACTAGCCCAGGATACACCTGGGGACAGTTGGTGAGACTAGCCCAGGACACCTGGGAACAGTTGAAGAGACTAGCCCAGGACACCTGGGGACAGTTGGAGAGACTAGCCCAGGATACACCTGGGGACAGTTGGAGAGACTATCCCAGGATACACCTGGGGACAGGTGGAGAGACTAGCCCAGGATACACCTGGGGACAGGTGGAGAGACTAGCCCAGGATACACCTGGGGACAGGTGGAGAGACTAGCCCAGGATACACCTGGGGACAGGTGGAGAGACTAGACCAGGATACACCTGGGGACAGGTGGAGAGACTAGCCTATGATACACTTGGGGACAGTTGGAGAGACTAGTCCAGGATACACCTGGGGACAGGTGGAGAGACTAGCCCAGGATACACCTGGGGACAGTTGGAGAGACTAGCCCTGGATACACATGGGGACAGGTGGAGAGACTAGCCCAGGATACACCTGGGGACAGGTGGAGAGACTAGCCCAGGATACACCTGGGGACAGTTGGAGAGACTAGCCTAGGATACACCTGGGGACAGTTTGAGAGACTAGTCCAGGATACACCTGGGGACAGGTGGAGAGACTAGCCCAGGATACACCTGGGGACAGGTGGAGAGACTAGCCCAGGATACACCTGGGGACAGGTGGAGAGACTAGCCCAGGACACCTGGGGACAGTTGGAGAGACTAGCCCAGGATACACCTGGGGACAGGTGGAGAGACTAGCCCAGGATACACCTGGGGACAGGTGGAGAGACTAGCCCAGGATACACCTGGGGACAGGTGGAGAGACTAGCCCAGGATACACCTGGGGACAGGTGGAGAGACTAGCCCAGGATACACCTGGGGACAGGTGGAGAGACTAGCCCAGGACAGACGCCTGGAAAGCTCCGGCCTATGTCCCAGGAGGGGCGACTTGCTAATCTTTCTTAATTATCCCAAACCGCAACCAAATAAAAAAAACAACAGAAAACAAAGCGGGTGTGAATTGGGTTACTCTTTGGTTTTAAAATATTTTATTTTTGACTTAGTTTTTATTTAACAAAGAGATATAGCAAAGTAAAAGTAACAAACATTTAATGCTGAAAATTCTTGAAAATCTGGGTCATGGTTATTTCACTGATCAATTACTGCTATGAATTTTGAAAATATTTTAAATCAAATATCACATCAAATAAAAGTACATATATTGCTTAGAAACAAATTTAAGCACATAGTACTTCAATAATTTTAAGTTTTTAATACTAAAGTTTAAAAATAGCAGCCTACATTATAGAAGTAAAAAAATTACAAATGTACACATATTTTTTATCAACCTGATAATTTAGGTTCAATTAAGTAGCATTGATCTGACAGAAGAAAATCTAGCTTAGAGCAATGTAGGCCTATACAATTTGTAATTTAAACTTAGAAAAATTAGTATGTTTGAGTTGCTACTAGTTTATAAGTTAAAGCAAAAGATGTATCGTTCAAATTACCACCTGTTTGTAAAAAAAATAAATTAAAAATAGGTAAAAAAAAACTCTATATTGAAACATAATTATAAATGTATAACCACATTTATTCTTTAAAACAAAACGAGAAAATTAAAAAAATTCAATTGACCAGTTAGCTGAAAAAATGACAACTTTGTGTGTAACAAAATGTATCATTAAAACCTTGATAATAAGTGGTTAATTACAAAACCACCGTCTAATTAACTTTCTCGTGCTTAGGTTGAAAGGACAATATTGAAAAAAAAAATTGATATTGCTGTTAAGTGTTAACATTATGGTTATTTAATGATGAAGATCAGAATTTGTGCAATGGTTAGCGCGAAGGTTTAAAATAGCTTTGAAAATAACTACCTCATAATCACCCGCACACCAAAAACTATGATCATCCTCTAAATGGTGAATGAAAAAAAGCCTTGATATAGTGTAGGAAGTCACCCTTTAAAGAGTGTTTGTGCAACAGTTATTAAATTAAAGTTACTCTACGCAGTTAGTAATAAAATCGTAAGTTACAAAGTTTTGTAAAAATATATTCATAAAATGTATTTTACATCAGGCAGGAAGTTTGATATGAAAATGTATAAAAATAATAAAACGACTGTAATGCCATATTTTACACATATTTGATATATTTAAGAATACTTGTATAAAATAATGATAAGAAAATGCATTTCACATCACGATTTCAGGTCGTGTATGAAACAACACTAAAATCAAATTATTTAACGATATACATGAATAATTTTTCTTATTTTATTTGTTTTTTCTTTTTTTTTTTTCTTTTTCTTTCTTTGTTTTCATTTTAAAAATATTTTTTTTCGGTTTTCTAGTTTCAAAATAAGGTTTGAAAAAAAATTGTCTGACTAAATATTTTGCCAAAGTTTTTTTTTATTTATCAAATTATGCATGATGAACAAATTAATTACTATATTTAAAAAAAAACAAAAAACTCGTTTGTTTAACATTGGTTGCCCAATAGTACATGAAGTGTGTATAATTAAAAAAAAATTCTGCGTATCCCGTTAGTCATGTTACTGTATGGGCCAATAATTACAGTAATCCAGAGTTCTCTGTCCTGCTGGAGTATGGGCCACCAACTACAGCTCTCCAGAGTTCTCTGTACTGCTGGAGTATGGGCCACCAACTACAGCTCTCCAGAGTTCTCTGTCCTGCTGGAGTATGGGCCGCCAACTACAGCTCTCCAGAGTTCTCTGTCCTGCTGGAGTATGGGCCACCAACTACAGCTCTCTAGAGTTCTCTGTCCTGTTGGAGTATGGGCCACCAACTACAGCTCTCCAGAGTTCTCTGTCATGCTGGAGTATGGGCCACCAACTACAGCTCTCCAGAGTTCTCTGTCTTGCTTGAGTATGGGCCACCAACTACAGCTCTCCTGAGTTCTCTGTCATGCTGGAGTATGGGCCACCAACTACAGCTCTCCAGAGTTCTCTGTCATGCTGGAGTATGGGCCAACAACTACAGCTCTCCAGAGTTCTCTGTCCTGCTGGAGTATGTGCCACCAACTACAGCTCTCAGGAGTTATCTCTCCTGATGCTTCTGAGAAACATTTTTCTAAACGTATTGACTAGTATTGTTCTATTTTAGTGTGAGGCTCGTGATGTAATTGCTAATTTACCCTATTTAGGTTGACGATTAGCCCTATTCAGGTCTGATTTGTGCCGTATTCTGGTTGGTAGTTTGCTTTTCTAGTTTGGTAATTCACTCTACTCAGGTTGGCAATTTGCCCTTTTTGGGTTGACAATTAGCCCCTTTCAGTCCTGTCTTCTAACCAGGGTCCTTTGCAATTGGGTGTTGGCAGATCTTTAGCCATAATACACACATTTTTTTGTATCCAAACACCTTTACGCATAGCATCTTTGCTTTGTCAAATGTTTTAAAATCACTTATAACGTATTGGGTTCTAACGCTTTAGAAATGCGCTCAAAGAAATCTATTTATAGCCTCACGCACGTGAAGTGTGTATACGTGGATAAACTAGCCCCACCATCCGCTTTATCCACCCTCATGAAGAGTTCTTCCCCTACCGTCATTGAAAGTATCAGAGTGGTGGAGACGCTGGTATTAGCAGCCCGTAAACAAACGCTCTTTTTTACGTGCTGTTGGTTGTCTCTTGTTCTGGTGCAGAAGCTGATTTCAATAAGTTTCTCCTGCTGCTGGTGGAAGGTAGCGCTGACGAGGTAGATGTCGTTAGTGGGTGCTGTAAACCTCCCAGCCGTGTAACAAGGGTGGATGTTGGGGAAGTTTGATAGGACAGAGCCAGGAGAGACTGGGGTGGATGAAGGTAGGTAGGCGGTAAAGACCAGACGATTTGGACTTGCTCGTGTTTCTGAAAACATAATTTTTATAATGTGTACTCTAACATTTATGCTCTATCAAAACAGAATGAAGAAAATATTTGTGTATTTTAATATTTATGTTCTATCAAAACAGAATGAAGAAAATAGTTGTGTATTTCATAGAGCTTCTGTATTTCTGCTGCAAAATATTTGGAAGTGGGGCTTAGTGGGGTTGAGGATGGTCTGTTGATATAAACTATATAGACTTTCCAAACAACGTTTCTATATTAATATAAGTAGCTGCATGCCTTACTTATGTGATAATATTTGTAACAAAAGACACTTCTTTGTTTTTTTATGTTTTTTTTTTGGGTAGCAAAATATTTAAACTTAAATTCTGTGTAAGTGATTTGTTTGGTCTCTATTGTGAATGAGTTTATTCATATATTTTTTAAACTACATAGCGTTCCTGCATCTAAAATAGTTAACAACGAAATGCCTAAATAAATAACAAGTTTACCAATAGCTTGAATCCTTTTTGACAAGTCTTCGATCTGAAACCAATAAGAAGAAGATAAAATCCCATACACTATTTATAATTTTGTGTTTGTAAGAAATAGTAGAATGAACATTAAACATTTTTAAGTTAATATATATTGATATAATAGGATAAGCATATAGACGGATTAAAATATAACTGAACTAAGCAAAAGCAATATTAATCATCTAAGTTTTTTTTTCTGTAACCAATACCAATTTGATATGGTGTTTTGTTGCAATCCAGCTCTTGTTAAACTCATGCTGTAACGACTCAAGGGAGACAAGTTTGTTAGACAGTAGTTGACACATTGTCCCATACTGCAGAATAAACAATGTATTTCTGGGTTAGAGTTGGGATCCTATCAGATTAGGATTTATATTAGATTTTTGTTGTTGTTTTAGAATATTTTTTTCTCTAGATATTATTTTGTCTAAAATATTTTCGTTATAGATTGTTGTAATTTTTTATCCCGAGGTTTTTTTTTTTCTAAGATTTTAATCATGAAATTTATCTTAATTTTTTTTGTAATGAAAAATTGTATACTGTGTTATTGTCAGAGATATAATGTGTCTGTTTTTCATAGATAATGGTGTATTGAATTTGTGAGTAACAATTTGTCTGATGCACTTAACATTTTACATTAGCATCTTTGAGTTGGCCTACAAAATAAAACTCTTAGATAATCAATGACATCTCTATAAATATATCAACAATATAACTAATTTAACTAAAGTTTGAAACATCGTATAACTAAGTCTGAAACATATTATAAAGTCTGAAACATTTTGTAACTAAAGACTGAAACATCTTATTAGTAAGTCTGAAATATCTTATAACTAAAGGCTGAAACATATAACTAAGTCTGAAACATCTTATAAAATATGAAACATCACCCACCTTGTTCATGATGTTCTGATATTTCCTGTTGAATTTTCTCTCGACTTTTTCCTTTTCTTCTTTCATTGAGTTGACGACATTTCTGTGTTCGTTTTCTGATTTACAGAGAGCAGTGGTATATGTGATGAGCATTATAAATGTCGGCACGAAAGATGGTTGAACTATTGAGGACGCCCCTACACCATTTTACGCTAATTTAAATTTAGTATTTAAAAAACACGATGAAAACCGAAAAGGTTGGAACATTCTATTAAATATTATAAGTATAACGGAATTAAAACCTACATACTTTATACTAAATATTTTTACGTGTGTCATACATACCTATACAACATACGCACTTATATCTAAAATCTTTACATTACATTTAAATCGTAAATTAATTTAGAACTTTCTGAATATTTAATACATAAAAGTATTAAATTCCGTACAAATACTTATTTGTGACATTTTTTCCTGTGACTTTTTTCCTCTATGACTTTTTTTTCCTACAATCAAATAGATAGATATAGATATAATGATTTAAATATAATAATATGGACATACCTAATATAGGAATTTGTTGCGAGTAATTGCGAAGCTGAAAATAATGAAACATAGATTAGACGACATAACAGAAAAGAATGGGAGATAATTAATTTATAAAAATACTAATCCACATAAATTATAAAATGGATTACGCCATTTATGTCACCATTGCAACCCCCCCTCCCCTCCCCCCCCCCCCCCCCGGAAGAGATGCCTGGAAGAAACTCTGATCATAACACGAACGTAAACACAAATACAAACAAAAACGAAAACACAAACACAAATACAAACACAAACTCAACCACAACCACAAACGCAAACACGAACACAACACAGACAAAAAAGCAAACGAAAACAAAACAAATCCAAACGCAAACACAAACCCAACTACAAACGCAAACCAAACCCAAAGAAAACACAAACGCAAATAAAATGGCAAAGTGCTCACAGTCTAAACCGGGGCGCCAAATCACCCCATGCTGTGGCGCCTGATTCAGCTTACTAAACGACTATAGTACCTCAACTTATTCGTAGTCTTTTGCACTCACTTAAATGAACGTATACGCAATAGCGAACACGGGAAGGCCCGGGGCGCCAAATAGCACCCTGTCGCGGCGCCTGAGGACGCCCTGATTCGATTCACTTAAAGACTATAGTAACCTTTCTTATCCATAGTCTATCGCACTGTTAAAAGCGAAATTATGAACCATAGCGCTCACAGGTAAGCCCAGGGTGCCATATGTATCCCTGCCGGGGCGCCGCCTGACGCGCCTGTTTGAATTTAGTGAACAATTATAATACCCTAAGCTTATTCGCAAACGGAAAGAAGTCAACATAGAGAACTTTTAGGAGCTGGGTTCTTAACTGTTATTGATTTTAAGAAATAATTTGTAAACAGTATGTTCAGTATATGAAGTAAATAAAAGGCAGTATTTAAATTACCTACCACATTGCACTTGATCAATACCCACTAATTATGTAATTATTTTTTTTCCCCAACACCAAAGCAAATTAATAAAAAGTACTCCCCCCCCCCCCCCCACTTCCGATGTAATTGTGTTTTCCTAATGTATCAAGTACGTAATAAGTTTTAAAGAACTAAATTGAACTTTATATATAAGATATATACTTTTATAAGTGTCCCCCCCGCCCTCGGAGAAAAAAAAGTCAGAAAGAAACACTGCGTAGAGTACTATTATTTAAACCTATTCTCTGTAGAGAAGAGGCTTAGATCAATCCACAAGTTGGAAATTATCGAGCAATAATACGATAGAGACTTTCCCACTTACATTCGAGTTACCTTGGGTTTTTTTAAAAATCTGGAAAACAGGGCAATGCTTTAAAAAAA